TTTATTTATTTCTTTTTTATAATTATTTTTTATGGTACAATTTATTATTAGTATGTTAATTTGTATATTGTATATTATTATTTCTTCATTCATTTGGTTATTTATCATTTATTTATATTTTGTTTTATACCATATTCTGTTTGTAGAAAATATAATTCTTTAATTCTTTGACTATTTCATATCTAATCATTTATTCACGTTTCTCCTGTTTATAACTTATTATTCTCTCTAATATTTAAAATCACATTATTTTTATTATAATTTATTATAATTATTTATTTTTAATCAATCTAAAAGAATGAAATTAGTATATATTAATTCATTTGTGTAAATATTAGAATGGAGATTATATTTTGATTCATAACAACATAAGAATGTATAGATTTTTCATTTGAAATAAAGATAATAAATGAAAAGAAATAGAAAATGGAAATAAAAATAAAAAGAATGAATAATAAATAAAAAAGAAGAAATAGAATATGATTAAAAGAATAATAGAAGAATAATATAAATAATAAGAAAATAGAAGAAAATAAGACATAATGATAATAAACAAGAATTAGATATAATAAAAGAAATTAAACGATATAAAGAAGAATATAAATAACAGAAATATGTCAGAAGAAGAAAAAATATTAATAATTTGTGATTTTCTCCGGAGAAAATCACAAATTATTAATATTTCAAAATGAAATGATTATGAATGTTCTAAAAATAGAATGATGACGTGTAAATACGTAATAATTATTTATAGAAATAGATTTGACGTGGTAACAACTCAAATGTATTTATAGAAATAGAATGATGACGTATTGAAACGTAATCAAATATAAATAGAATTATGGAATAGATAACACAAAAATCTAAAAAATTAAAGATAGAAATGTCAGCTGACAACGCTGACAAGAATTATAGTAAAATTATAATAAAAATATTATAAAATATAATAAAAATATATAGTCAGTATAAATATATATATATATTTTGAACCTCAAATGTCAGTGTTGAATTATTTATGAAACATTCACTGACTAAAGTGTGTTGAATAACACAATTTATTGAATTAAAATAAATATTATACCTCAATTTTAACTCAATTCATAACTCAATTATTATTTACTCAGTTATTTTTATAAAACAAAAAAATATAACAAAATAGTCAGTGCAAGAACCGACTGAAATTATTAGATCGCTGACAATGGTTTATATAAAAACGCAACGTGGCAGGGTTGAAAATAACATTCAAAAATTTCAAACGGTGATGAATTAGGGTGAAAGAAAGGTGCAGAAATAAGAAGAAGATGTAACATAGAACCATAAAGAAGCGGAGAAACATAAAAATAACCAATAAACGACAAGAGAAAGAGACAAACATCATATGATTGAGGAATAGAAACGAGAAGCTAGAAAAAACGATGACGAAAGCAATAACAAATCAATACGTAACAACAAAAATAAAAACAGAAACAAAACGAATAAATAACATAAATGTCAGTATTAAATAAACCAACTAATTATATCTCTATTCTCGCAACTAAAAAAAAATCATATTTTCATTTCCGGGGAATAGGAGTAGGAAAAAGTACATTACTTGGTAATTTAAAGTCAATTTTGAACGATTCGGTACGATTTAAAATCATTCACGAATACATCGACATTGATTATGAAGGCGAGAAACAATTACAACGATTAAAAGACGGTGAAATTACTAATTTCCAATTTCAAGTGTATGTATTACACTGCTTTGAGACTCAACTGGATACAATTAGTTATCAGGATGCAAAATATGTTATTTGGGAAAGACATCCCATTGAAGCTCTCAAGATATTCTGTGCAAACGATAACGCTTTAACACAGGAACAAAGACGAAAATTATTAGAAATTGAAACTGAATTATGCGCGACTTATGGGATACCAAAAATATTCGATGTAAAATCTATTATTTTAAAGATTGATACTTTTAACTATGGTAACAAATTTATTGCAAAAGGATTCGTTAATCAATTTATTCAACCAACAATATTTACTGATGCAATTAATCACTACTTTATTTATCTTTATTGTAGCAATGAACAAGAGCAGCTTAGAAGAATCATTACAAGAGGACGAAAAGCTGAATTAAAGATTTATCACAATATTTATGACTTGCATCCGGTGAATCATGCCTATGAAGACTATTATGATAAATGCATTAGAAGAAAGAGACTTCTTAATCAGGGCTTAAACATCTAAGATAATTGAATCTTCTTTATATTATTATGTTAAACAATTTAGATAATACAACAAACAAACAAGAACGTGAACCACTAATTGAAAGATTAAAACATCCAACGGTTATTCAAACAATATGTAATACAGTATGCATGAGTTTATTTACAGTGATATTTATTATTATTTATATTATTTTAAAACTAGGATTATCAGACATAATTGAAAAATAAAAAGAAATAAGTTATTCTTTAGATTCTGGTTTCTTTGGTTTCTTTTCAGTTGCATCTTTCTTAGGACCCTTTGTCATAGCTCTACGAGATTTCATTTCATCGGGGTTATCATTATCAGTAAGACAACCAGCACCAATAATTTTATCAGCATCAATATCATCTTTCCATTTATTTGAATGTTTTCTAACCCAGTCGGGTAATGAAATAACATTATCAAGCTTAGTAGAATTCTTCTTAAATTTACGTAACCAAACAGAATAAGTATTTAAACCAATATTTTGTTCATCAAGAGATTGAGAAATTCTTTCGCATCGTTTAATTGATTCGAGTTTTCTTCGGAGTATATCTTCACGAGCATCATCATCAACAACGTTTGGATCGTTATTAAGTTTCCATTCCAAGTACTGGGGTTCTTTCATAAGGTAATAAATACGTTTAATGAATGGATTAACATTGGGATCACATTGAGCATCTTTATAAACGTCAGCCAAATCCATGGCAGCGACAGTTTCAAAGATATCGTCTCTCGGGCGATTAAATCCGGACATACGATTTGATATTTTAAAGTTCAAAATCGTAATCTTAAATAGTAAAAATTATGAAATAATACCCCGACACGTCGATTTTTGTCAGCAAAAACGTCAATAAAAAAACAAGAAAACGGAATTATCAGTTCACAATAAAACCACGATGAGTCAACAATTCCAAAATGAACCGAGTAAATTGGATTATGAAAAAATGCAACATTTAGTAAATACAAACAAACCGCTACATTTCACCAGTAAATATGCTTACCTCACCTTATGGGGAGACGAAATTCAAAATCAGACACAATTTGCTGAAGTAATTAATAGAATTGCAGGAGCTACTAACAATATCCAGTACGCTCATATATCACCAGTTGAGAGAGACGAAGCTAATGAACATCCGCACCAACATGTATTAATTGTACTTAACAGACCCAAATCATTTAACGCGCGTCCAGTCATAAATCATAGTGATGGAACTAAACAGCGTTTTTGGTATTCACGTGTTAACTCCTACACCACGAGAACCGGCGACATTAGTAACATTATTAAATATATTACCAAAAAAGGAGAAGGAATGTTTAGAGGTAATCCAAATGATAAGACAAAATTAAATCAAACGTGGATTAATGCATTGAACGATATGGATAGCTACCACGATTATAAAGAACTGGAGAAGAATTTAATGGAGATCAACTCTGAGAAGTACATACAACAAGAGGGCAAAATAAAAGCCAGATGGTTAAGAAAAAATGCAAGGCGTATTGATATGGAGAACTATACCAAAGAGAATTTATATCCATGGAAAGAAGAAACCGAAGAAATACAGACAATTAGAAAATGGATAAAGTGTGCAAGCGGAGATAAGTACCGAATGGGCAACTTATTTATAGTCGGTCCAACTAAGACCGGTAAAACAGAGTTCGCTATTCAAGAAGTGTTTATGAAGTACAATACATTCATGCTCCGAGGAGACTCGCTATTTGACACTTATGATGATGATCAAAATTACAGATTCATTATATTTGACGACATTAATTATGATAAAAATTTATTACGCCTTATTAAAGCAATAACTTCTTCAATTAACAAAAAAACCATGGTGAATGTCAAATATTCTAAGGCTATTGTAACTGCGAGGCCTTGCATTCATCTATTGAATCAAAAAGAATATGATTCGGTTTTAAATCTCATGAAATTTAACGGAGGTTACTCGTGGTGGAGGAGAAATTCGCTCACCGTATTTATTGATGATAAAATTAATAAAGATCCATCTGAAACTGAAAATGATTCAAAAGATATGAGTCAGGAAGAGAAAGACTATGACCCAATAAAAGAATTAAACGAAAAGTATGAAGATATTAAAGATGACGACACTGAAAAGTATCAAGATGAAAACGAGAATTCATTACAACATGTAAAATTCGAGACGAGATTAACAACGTTTATGAAAGATCTGGGTTATGATGAAAGTTTTTTAGAAGATTTAACAGAAAAGATAAAGGAAGCGAGAAAGAGTAATATTAAGTTGAAAAGGGATCTTGACCATTTAGAAGATGACAACGAGAGTTTAATGGAAGAGTGGGAAGATGATTTAAATGACTACCAGGACAACAATCCGTTAGGAATGACAGAAGAAAATTATAGACGTTTTGAAAATGACACAATGTCCAAATTTGAAAAGGAAAGATTAAATTATTTTAATAGAAAAGCAAGTGAAGAAGATAATTATTATGATTATGAAGATGAAGAAGACGACTATAGTGCAGAGCCAATGGAACATCAACCATTTGGCGGAAACGGAAATGATCCAGACATAATATACGACTAAAAAGAATTAAATTAATTTATTTCTTTTTATCTTTTACCATTGAAATTTTTGTTATTTTTCTCGGTTTCATTGTTTTATCTTTCTTCATTGCATCTTCCCATGCATGTTTATTGATACGTTCCATAGTACGTTTTAGTATTAAATTGTTTCTTTTCGATGCACTCACACGCTTTTCATATTGTTCAATTTCATCTGCCTCAATCATGTTATACACACCTCTGGGAATAGATTCAGTAATATGTCCATTAATATCAACAACTTCTCTTTCATTTTCTGGATTGTCATAATATTTCTTTACTCGTTCTTTTATTCTTCCTCTAGCTTCTTTGTACCACTTCTCATAATCATATTCATTATAAGATGAACGCATCAAATCATTTGTCTTCTGTCTATAATCTGAAGCAATGGGAATAGCATCATATTTAGGTTCAATTTTATGTCTACCCATTATTTCATATCCATGATTTCTTTCTCTCGGTGTAACTGTTCCATCTCCACGTTTGTCAAATCCAGAATTTGAATCAGAAGAAATATCATCTCTTATCATTCTTTTTCTGGGTTGTATTACACTCTCAGAAACATAAGAATCTGCACCACCACGTACAGCGAAACTCTGAGCATATTCAACAAAATCATTGATATTTATACCATTTCGTTCAGCTAATTTATTTGCAATAATCTTAGCACCTGCATTTCTATTATCATTCCAAGAACCTCGCAATTTATCAAAATCATGAGAAGCAACATCCAATTTATAACGAATTTCATCAACATTAGACTTATCATCCATAATACCACTCAAAACCATCATCATACTTTCATGGAAATTTTGCATATCATTAACAGGAACAACATATTCAGCATTAAAAGACTGAGCAATATTTTCAAATTGTTTCATAATCGCATTAACATTACTTATTACATATTTATATTGTGCACCTCGAACTTCATTATCTTTTATATACTTATTAACATCTTTAAACGAGAAATTAATAATTGTCGAGTATTTTCAAATGCCTTTTTACTCTGTCTCATATCCGGATCATCACTACAAATATAACATCTCAAGAATTTAATGGTAAGAATTTCATTAAATACATTTTAATAGAAATTTGAATGATACTCAAAAATAAAGCAAATTATTCACTTCTTCTCTTACTTCTATTATTTATACTATTTATACTATTTATACTATTTATACTACTTATACTACTTTTATACTACTTATATTATCTTTACTACTTATACTACTTTTATACTACTTATATTATCTTTACTACTTATACTACTTTTATACTACTTATATTATCTTTACTACTTATACTACCTTATGTATCACTTCTATCTTTTATATCACTTCTATCTTTTATATCACTTCTATCTTTTCTATCACTTCTATCACTTCTATCACTTTCCTTTATGTCTTCTGACTATATAATACCTTACTATATTTCTATCCCTTACTATATTTCTATATCTTGCTTATTTCTATCTACTTCTATCACCTACCCTTCTATTCTTCCTATTTTATTAATTGTTAAAGCGGGGTGGCGCAGTGGTAGCGCGGCAGGCTCATAACTTGCAGGTCGGTTGATCGAAACTTCCCTCCGCTGTTTTTATGCCCTTTATTTTTATATGTTTGTGTATTACTTATTTTTATACCACCTTATATCACCTTATACCACCTTATATCACCTTATATCACCTTATACCACCTTATACCACCTTATATCACCTCCTTACTATCTAAAAAGATGGTTCCACCCGGGTTTGAACCGGGGACCCTCCCTACGTGAAAGTGATGTGATAACCAACTACACCATGA